ATATATATATATCGTCTTTTCTTTAGAAATCTACCGACAGACAAGTCGAGAATTATGATTCTCGATGCTTTAAAATGGCTGTTGTAAAATGGCTTTTGCAGGCCATTTCCCTCTGATTCTGAGTCGACTCTCTGTTTGCGCGAAGTTTTATTAGAAATTGCTGTGATTTATATTATATTGTATTTATTATTAGTTTATACTGCTTGTTTTTTAAAATAAAAATTGTATTTTATTTAGGAAAAACTATTCTCTCTTTGCATTTTTTTTTATATGATTTTAAAATACTATTTTTATGTAACGAGATTGAATGATTCTTAAATTTTATCCGCAAATACTAATTTTTTTTTACGAATATCGTTTTTCTTCGGTATGGATAACTTTGTAACGGGATTCGGAGATCATGCGTTAAAAATGAAAGAGATGTAGAAACGTCACGCATTATTACATTCGTTTCGGCTGGGGTAACAAATACATGTGATCTTTTAGGACTTACGTCGTTGTTCGGCAAAATCTTACTGTGAACTCATATGTCGCCATAAACTTGTGCAGGATACTGCATGCAGGACGACGAGGTCGTCATTTAAGTGCATACTTAACACGTGTCCGTCCTCTTTCTTTCTCTCTTTATCTTCCTCTTTCTTTTGATGTTCGAATATGGTATTAAAATGATATCCTGGCGCCACCCATGAATAGCTCGAGACATGATTCTGCATCTGACCAACTCGTGACGTGTGCAAGAAGAGAGCGATGCACTTGCGTCATTACTCCATAGCCATAGGCCAATTGCCAATTGCTAGCCCCTTCGAATAATTGCTATTAACATACAATACAGCACATTGCACAAAAGGGATATTCTCGCCTGTGATTTACCGTCATGAATTTATCCTTGCGGCCAGGATTAAAAGCGAATCTACACCATTCACTTTACATGATTATTTCGGACGATGTGTTTAAATTTTATAAATAACTCCCTCCGTTTATGAAAGAAACTGTCATTCGTTTTACATAAAAGGATTTAATTTCGTGCATTAAATTTTTAATGTAGAGTAATTTACAATTAGATTACTTTTCGTATATCAGTAATACGAAAAGTAATGTAATCCCGAATACTTCTTAAGAAGAAACCGGTTTTTTTGTCAAATTGACTAAATTTTTGATTATTTGATATGTGGTTGCTTTTGTGATGTCGATTAAAAGTTTCAATGGACATAGAAAACTTAACTTTTATAGCTACGAATTAATAATCTGAATAAAATAACACAGGCCATTAAAAAAACTATTAGCTTATTTTGTTTTAGACTCTTTTAGATTTTGCTTTGTTAAAAAATGCTTCCGAAGAAAGCTGAAAGATTGCAAGAATGATTTTAAAAAATAAGAAAAAAATTAGTGATTTTAGAAAAAAAAACATGATTCTAAATACACAATTTTGAGCAATTTATGGCTCCGTAATCATAAAAATTGAGCTTTTTTTCATACCCATTAAGACTTTTGATCAACTACATATAAAAAAATTTAGCCAATTTGATAGAAGTCGGTTTCATTCATCAAGAAATGTGCGAAGTCCTTTTTATTTCAGTTCTTTTTCGCCAAGGAAATCCATGAAACGACATAGAGCTCGGCTAATCCACTTCCGATGGTGCATTCAAACAAGAACTCGTTCACTCGACGCATTTATTTCGCATCACGCGAAGAATGAACCGTATAAATTCGCCTTAACCACGCAATTGCGCGCGTGGGCGCAGGTCGCGAAATGAACGACCGTCGAGCTGTTCTGCGGATTCGCTCGGTAGGCGACTTTACCTTGACGCTGGATATGTATTTTGACGCCACGTCCAAGAGGTAATTGGGTAATTTAATCAAGGTAGCTCGCAGCGAATCGGATATATGTACTATACGGGATTATTAACTCAATAATATTAACTCGTTCATGCGAAAAGACAGTTGAGTTTCGCCGTCTTTTTATATCTCTCGAACAAAAGCATGAGACTTATACATCTGTCTGTAATTTTCAAACATTTGCGAAAAAGTGATAAAGTGTAGTTTTTAGAGTTAGTATGTGGTTCTTTAACGATTTATTCTAACGATTATTATCGAAGAAATGATTATTTATCACGATCAATACTTATTTTCTTTTTTAATATTTTGAACAACAGATTAATTATTGCGAGTTACAAATTTTGGTTACAATTAAATGACGAATAAAATTATAACTCTACTATAAAGTAATAATAAAGTACAACTATACATGGCACAATAAAGATAAATTAAAATGACAACGTTATTTAACCCAAAACAAACTTTATTCCACCCACTTGCTATCATTTGTATTTTAATGGATATAACTTTTCACTTTTCGCGTGGGTGAGGATGGCAGAATGAAACCCGACAAGATTTTCTCCGGATCTCCGGTAGGGAATTTACCTTGATGCGTGCTAGATACGCGTCCCAATACTACGCTGTAGAAATAATTGGGTAATTTAATCGGGTAGAATAATCACATGTCGTGGATACATGCGTATAATATTAAGATGCGTACATCAAGATAATATTATTAACTTATTTGTGTGGAAAGACGGGCGTGTTTCATTACCTTCGTCATCATTATTCGACATCCTTTGTACTCATATGTATAGTTTGCGATTTTATATTTTATTTTTATACATATGATTATAGCGAAATATATTTTATACATATTTGAATTTTTTTAAGAGGAAGAAAGA